AGCTCTAGAAATAAAATATTACACACAGAGGGACCTTCATCCTCTTTCTGTGAATTGCTGAGAGAGTCATATCTTCTTGCCCGTCCTTGAAACAAAGTCTGCACTGCTTTTTCTGATCCAGACTTCATTAAAAGGCTCTTTAGTCTTGAAGCAAATATACAATATTCTCCTTTGTAACAATAGTTCTTCCAGGGAATGTAATTCAAAGAGTTTTTCCCAATTCACAGATAAATTAATTTTAGTGATGCTTGACAGCAATTCCATTTTTTCCAGTAAGAACAGTCTTACTGTAAATTGAGACTAGAGAATTGCATTATTCATTTGAAAGATGTTTCTAGAATGTCTTTAGGCTCTTCTGGGTAGTGACAGTCTTATACAGAAATAAAATGGCCTTGCTTTGCTGTAGATTTATTAGTACCAGTATTTCCTGCAGCTTCCCTCCTTTCAGAATTCTTTGTTCTTCATAGTCTTCTGTGTTAGAGAAATTGTACTTGTTTTGTGGGCTCTCAATGTGCTGTTGATAAAGTCAGCTCAGAGAAGATAATCCTCAGAGAAGGATTAAGTGCTGTTTGCCCATTTATTACAATGAGTAAACTGAGTCAGAGAGACTCTAATTTTCCTAAAGCCACATAGCAACTTAGTGTTGTAATTAAGTCTGATTCAGCAGCACATACTAAGCGGTTTCCATGGTGCCTGAGGCCCAAGAAGCCAATAATTCAGCCATGTTCTGTACGGAAATGAGAGCTGAGTCTAAGTCATGAGAAATTTCATGTGCCAGTGAGAGAGACTGAAAATGCCTTGCTCTCATTTTAACATTTATCTTTATTAAATTTTTACAAGAACATCCAAAATAATCTGAGTAATTACAGTAGAAGTGATGGGACTGTTTTACACGGTGTTCAACTGTGACGAAAACCTTCAGAAAAACAGATGCTGTGGTTTCTGCTTTACTTCTTGCTGTGCTTAGCTGCACAGGGTTTAGTATTTTAGTGATACAGGGATGAAGAGTTCATGTGAAACAGAAGTAGCTGACATTAGTGAACTATCTATAAAACAGTCCATTCTTCAGGGACACTGGAAAAGTATTTGTGATCTTAGAAATATAAAAAATGGCATCTTCCAGCTTCACTAGGATAATGTGGTAAACACACAGGATTCACAACACAGATGGACAAAACACAGGCAATGTTGCAGAAGGGTGGCAGCGGATTAGTGTTAATGCTGCATGGCTCGCATCCGTGAAGTGCTGCGGACCACATGGTGCCAAAATAAAACCTGCATGAGCTTCCCTCGGCGCTTTCCCAATTCTTCCCTGAGACATTTGGGGGCTCAGGATTTCAGATGGAGAAGGACAGGCTGTTTGGCAAATGCAGCATGGATGAAGCAGAAACCCTCTCTGCCAGGTCTTGGGTGAGGTCTTCGCATGCTGCCTGCACTGCTGTCTTGGGGGAATGAACTCACAGAGAGGCAGGGGGTTGGCCAGGTCTTCCTGTTGTTCTTTGGAAATGTTTCTCTCCTGATTCAACCAAGGAAATGGATGTCCCTGTTCCCTTGGTTTTGCACAAATTTTAAAGTGCAAAGCTGCTGCTCCTTTCTCTGGGGAACACTGGGGACAGAGCCTCAAGAAATACAGCTTTGTCTCCCGTTTCTGTAACAAAGCTCCTCTATGGTGTTGGACAAAAATATAATTACTGTGTGTCTCATTCTTCTCACAGCACAATGGCAGTATGTCCTACCTGAAAAAATACTGAAGATTTCAGTAGTATTTGGAGGACTGAACTGTATGACATGTGAATGGGAGAGCCTAGCACCATGAGTGGACAGACCAGAGCAGATTAACTCTGTAGAAAAGTTCACACTTATAAATTGGTTTGGGTTTTTTAATGCCTTCATTAGGCTTAATTGAGACTGCACCAATTTCAGGATAAGCACTCCAGAGACAGATTAAGATTGCTACTGTTATTTATACAGTACTTAAAGCATGAATGGAGCTTGAGCTGTCACAGAACCAGCACGGTCCTTGTCCTGCTGGCTTGTCACCTCCAGGCTGGGCACACTGCTGGAAATGGACACACCAGTCAAGAGCTGTGCATGAACTTCTGATCAATGTAGGATGTAAGAGAGAGGTGGGCAATGATGAAAAAGGGTTAGAAAGATGTGACTAGCCTATTTGTTCTTCACTCAAGAGTGAGATTTCCCAAGCAGATATGCAGCCAGAGACAAACTGATCAAACCCATCCTGGTGTGGTTCTCCTGAGAAATCTGTTCCTTTATAATGCACAAAACCATGTAGTCTCGATTCAGGGAGCAGATAGGTTCTTTTGAAAAAAAGGTAGGGAATGTTTTCCTTGTTGAGAGCTAAATAAGCCTTTCAAACAACTTTGATATAAGAACATGAGAAATGCCATAATGGGTCTGTAGTGCTTTTACTGCAGCATTCTGTCTCTCAGGGCTGCAGCAGCAAATCTTTACTGTTTGAGAAGAGTACACAAGCCTGCCACCACTTCTCCAGTTCTCCCAGTGCTCACCAGCATCCAACTAGGTATGCTGATGTCTGCCTATTGCCTTTCATATCTGGTTTGGATCTATTGTACGTTAATTTCTCTAATGACTTTTATACTATCTGACTTCATAGAATCATAGAATCGTTTAGGTTGGAAAAGACGTTCAAGATCATCGAGTCCAACCATCAACGATAACCACTAAACCATGTCCTGAAGTGCCTTGTCTACGTGCTTTTTGAATACTCCAGGGGTGGTGACTCACCCGCTTCCCTGGGCAGCCTGTTCCAATACCTGACAACCCTTTCAGTAAAGAAATTTTTCCTAATATCCAATCTAAAACCTCCCCTGCCACAACTTGAGGCCATTTCCTCTCGTCCTATCTCCAGCCACCTGACAGAAGAGACCAGCACCCACCTCAGTACAACCCCCTTTCAGGTGGTTGTAGAGAGCGATAAGGTCTCCCCTCAGCCTCCTTTTCTCCAGACTAAACAGCCCCAGCTCCCTCAGCCGCTCCTCATAAGACTTGTGCTCCAGGCCCCTCACCAGCTTGGTTGCCCTTCTCTGGACATGTTCCAGCACCTCAATGTCTTTCCTGTAGTGAGAGGCCCAAAACTGAACACAGGACTCTAGGGGCGGCCTCACCAGTGTCTCACAACCTCCTGTGGCAAAAACATCCCAGAAGCTCATACTTTGGAAGAAGCATTTTCTTTTATCTGTATTAAGCTCATCTTCTAACATCAGTAAGTGTTCCTCTACCGCTGAGGAATTTAGTGTGTGACAAATTCTGCATTCACCACCTCCATGAGTTTGTAAACCTCAGTCAGGCCACCCCCATCAATTTTCTTTTCTCCAGACTAAAAAGTTGTAGGCTTTATATTGTCTTCTTCTAAAATAGTTGCTCATCTCCTTGAACATTCTGGTAGTCCTTTTCTATGCCTTTTCTAACCCCACTGTATTCATCCCGAGGCAAGCAAATCATTGGCAGGTATCTGCCAAGTACTGTGTTAGGCTTCTCAAAGTCCATTCTTAATTCTAATGTAATAGTATATCTTAAGATACAACAACAAACAAAGTCTCAAAGCTAGGTGGAAAAACAACTAACAGTTGATGCTCTCACGTGCAGTACATGGCTGAAGCATCAAGATGCTTCATTTTGACAACATGGCCATCATAAAAACATGAGATGATAGAAACTATCTGAGTGTCCCTCACTCCAGTACATTATACCAGGTATGTGAAGTCTGAAAAGGGTTGGAAGCTGTTGCAGATTCAGTGGAGAAAGGAGTGACTTCTGATGAGTGTTGTCAGCAAGGGAAGTTGGCAGTGGTAGGCTAGTGTTGAGTACTAATACACAAAAGTTACAGATGTCACTAATGATGTCACCAGCTGACATCTGCCCTCTTTGTTTAGAAACTCACAAATGGATATACCACTGTTATTCCTCTAAAGTGCAATGTAAATAATAGTTTTTAAACCAAGGCAAAAAAAACCCCCAGCAACCTTGACTGAATTAATGTATCTCCTGAGATATTTTTCTCATCTTGATTGCAGTCATGTATCAGCTTTCCAGTAGATGAGCTGGCAGAGGGCCACTGCTAACGGGATCTTCGGTAGGAAGAGTAGAGCGATCTCTTGAACTTCTTGTGGTTGCACAGATCCTTTGAGTATTGAGGCTTTCAGGTGTCTTTATTCCACCCCACTGTGTGAGTAACTGAAAAGCAAGACCAAACTCTTTAATGTTTTTGCCCATTTTATAAATAGCTTGTTCTAATCAGCAGGATATGATGATCAGAGAAATATGTCTATGCCTTGAAGAGCCAATAAAAAGTCAGTTGGTAACAGTGGAGGTTGTTCAAGGTAGTGAAGTTCAGTTGTTACTGATGTATATTTAAGGGCAATCTTTAAGAAGGGAACTGATTCAATGATGATGTCTCAAACAGGATTCAGTGTGTTCTGTACTGAAATTCAAACTAAGCTCCCTCGATAAAAATGAATTTTCCCCTTTAGGTTTTGACAATGTATAGTGATGAGTATGGTGTACTGTTGCAGTGTTTAACTGAGCACTTGGTAAATGCGGCTGAATGAGTACTGACTCTATGTGGTCTTGTGCTGACTGTGTGTGTGGCCTTCTGCTTACCTTTGGCCATGATTAATTCTTTTCATTGTAACTAACATTAGAGGTTAAAGTGGATTAGAGTAATGATGAAACCAGCTGTTTCCTTAAAACAGTCAAACGAAGAGTTAACTAAAATCTTGAAACTGAAATGATACCAAGATACCCACCAGTCCCGTTGGTCAGAACAGTTGCCCTGCCCAAATTCTCACTTAAGTGATGAATATATCTGACCATCAATAAAGAACATTAGGTGATGTGATGGGTCTGAAGACCACAGGCCTCCTGTAAATGGTGCCACATGTAGGGTGGGGGAGCAAGAAACATTGATTCAGATGGCATGAGTCTTACTAACCTTGTTTCTTTTGAATTTTCCCAAATAGGGTCGAGACTGCAGTGTGCCCATTAATTCCTGCATTCAAAATCCATGTCAGAATGGAGGGACCTGCCACCTCACTGAGGCAAATAAAGATGGATTCAGGTAATAACACAAAGTTCATAGAAAATGAGATGATAAAATTAAATGTGTTTCTATCTTGCATTAATGAACTATAATGGCTACTTTATAAAAGCTGCTGCATGTGACACATCTATTTGCCATACAAAATAATTAATCTGGTTTCATTGGTGTGACATATTGTTTCCTCTGAAACAGGCCTCCTTATTTTCTCATAATGGAATATACTCTTAAGGGCTATTTTGAGCGGTCTCCCTGATCTGCATTGTGTTATCTGTATGCTAATTTTCCTTGGGGCATTTCAAATTCACATATACCTTTTTTGTATTTGTAAAGTAAGCATCTGTTGCTTGACAACCAGATGCAAAATGTTTTCATACTGAAGAATCTTTTAGACAAACAGGCTTTAAAGAAACAGTTAAAAAACATGGAGAGATTGCCACATCTTGAGCACTGTGCCTGCAAAAGAGTAACCTTTACAGCTGGACATTATGAATTTGGTTCTGCCATATAAGAAAGATGTAGCATAGGTGGGAATACACCAAGAGAAGTCCAGAAATTTTCATGAGGTAGGTGGGAGATTTGTGCTGCTACAGGCACTACTTTACAGCTAAGAAAATACAGGTTTGAGGCTTTGGCCACTAGTTGTCATTAAAGTTGATACTATTATTTTTTTTTTAGAAACAAGTTGCTGAAATTTTCATAGGTTTGGTCCTCAGTGTTCGTGCTATTTCTTGCACAAAATATGTACAAAAGTACACCGTGCTGTTGTTTCAATTGCATATACGAAACCCTTGCTTCTAAAAGCTTTTATACATTACTGAGGCTGCTGCTTTGTCTTCTATATATAGCTTCCTATCAGTGACAGCTGGAGGGAGACACAGAATTGCAAGGTTTATAAGTGGTGTAAACAGGGAGTCAAACCAGTACATTTTTTCAGTTTGATTCCAGTTTGGTTTCAGATGTGATTAAGACTGTTCCAGCTGAGGTTAACTCTTTGTCAACTAAGTCAGTAAATCCATATCATCTTATGTCAGAAAATAGGATTTTTTTTTCAAAATAGAAAGGGCCAGGTGAAAGTCTGAGTGACTGGCAGGACTTTAGGTGCAGTAGGGAGTTAGCAACCCCCTCCTGTTCCCCTACCAATGGTAGGATGCCCTTTATATTTCCAGAAAAGTATTGTGGCTTCTTTTTGACTCCCCAAATCCCTCATGTGGGAATGAGGCACAGAAAAGCTTCCATTTTGCCCTGTGGGTAGGATGAATGGGGAAGCAGAACGCAGAAGAAATGCCCCAGAGCTTCTCTCTGTCTCTGTGCCTGCCCACCCTCAAGAATTCCCCCCTTACAGAAACAGATCCAGCACATGCTGGACACAGAAGGACACTGATGATATTATAATGGTAAAGTGCAGGTTGATGGGAATGAAGGGACACTGTGCAAAGAACAGCCTGAGGCTTTCCAACATGGGAGAAGAGGAGTAGAACACATGGCCACGAGGGGCAGTTTAGATCTCAGCTTGAGCGTGTGTGACAAGGCCCTGAGCAGAGCGGAAAGTGCATCTCCTGGGTAGAGATGCATCTGTAGGGTCATACTGGTGCATGGTGGTGGGAGAGGATGAGGAGGCTCTGCAGATCATAGCATGTGCAAATGGTCATGCTGCTTGACAGACCCCCTAGATTTTGGTGAAACCACTACTCTGATCTGATATACCTCTTCTTGATTCAGATTTTAGGAGGCTCAGCAATTTTTGGAGTAAAAGTTCAGGTTCAGCTTCTGCTTGAGAGAAATAAAGGTCTGGTGGTCTTTGGTTGGGTTCCCTTCTGGTCGCCCTCACGTGATACTGTTTAGATAGCTTTTTCCAGCCTGTGCCAAAGCAAAATTGTACCATATTAGATTATCTGTTTTCTGTCACTCAGTACTCATTTTTCGAAAATCTAGCTGATGCTAAAAATGTGCTAGTAAAACATTTTATAATACCCATAATACTAGAATGAAAGGCTTCAGCTTATATTTTGGATCAGGTTTTTCTTTAGCATTTTTGTTTTGTTCTATGGTAGAAAGTAAAAAGTTTTGAATGACCTGAAATGAAAGCTACTTCTGAATTTTTCTCATGAAGAATTTTACAATTTCAGAGGCTTTGCTTCAGTTCCAAATGAACGTCATTTTTGAGATCCTTTATAAAACTGCAGGGGTGGTTTTGTTTATTAACCACATTTGAGGCTTTTTAGGGATGGTTTCTGCTTTTATAGTTATTTATACAGTTTCAGTTGATCTAATAAAAAACACATAAAACCATATCTCGTCAAAAACTTGCTTCATAAAATTGAATGTTCAGCTTATACATTGCTCTATTTTCTCTCCATGTTTTTAATTCAGTCAGCCCATAGCCCCAGCTACTCTGGAGAAGAGGAGTGTAGAGCTTTAGCATGTCGTAGACAAATGTGGTGTGGGGATGGAACAGTCAGTGATGGGGAAGATAAAGAAACATTTTGAGATTGAATTTGGTTGGTTGGATTGGGTTTTTTTGGTGGGAAATCTCCTCTCCAGTGGATGGCAGCAGTCAGAGTTATATGCATATAAATTGTGTTCATCAAGATGGGAAAACGTTGCCTTAGATTATATGCTCTGAGGAAGCGGATGTCAAAAACATTTTCATGAGAGGCCTCCTTGGATTTTTCTGTTGTGTGGCCTGTAAAAGAAATTATATCTTCTGTATATTCTCTTCCCTAGGGAAATATATTCATACACAAGCTCTGCTGCCAAACTTGTCAAATCTTTACTCTTGTAAAAAGGAAACTTAAGCCAAAGCTCTCCCCCTATGAAATGCCAAGCAGTTTAACTCTCAAGTTTCTGTAGCCTTAGACAAGAAAATTACCTTTTAAATAATGCTAAGGTGGTGATGTTCCCCAGGCAAAGGCAGGAAATTCATAGTTATGACTGAGATTCCAGCCTGACTCGCCCACTGTGCCTGGAACCCACAAGGGCTCGCAGCAGCAGGGGACTGAGATGCTCAGACTTGTTGTAATAGCAGGTCCTGGTGGGGCAGCTGAAGGGCAAAGGTTCAGCTGGAGTTCTTCAGTCCTTCTTGGCATCTTTTATTATTGCATTTTTTCAATTCTGAGTAATTTTCACATTCTGTTTTTTCAGGTAGGGACAACTTCTGTATTAAAGAATAGTCAAGTGACATTGTGTGGCTCAGGGGATTAGAAACATGAAGTTCTTCCTCCCTTTGAATTGCTCATTCTAATCTAATCTAATCTAATCTATGTCTTCTTTGACAAAGGGTTGCCAAAAAAAGGTGCTTATTGAGAGTGATAAAAGAAGATGGTCAATCAGACATGTCCTGGTCATTTAGCGTGCCTGTAAGTGAGACTTTGACAAAGGAGTCAGAGCTGTCAGCTCTGCTTCAGTTAGCCACAGGCAACCAGCTGATCATTGATAACCTACAGTGTTGGGAAATAACGTCTCTGGATTATTTTAATTTTTCTCCGTATAAAACCTCCTCCATTTTCCAGAGCATTTTCTTTAGCATTTTCCACAAACTTTAAGTTTCCTCATAAATGTAAAATCCTGGAACTGATTAACTCCCTAGTGTTAATTCTGCCTAGCTCAAGGAAAAACACTGTACTTCCAGATTTACAGGCTACTCCATTGGGATGTAGATGTAAAAAGCTCCTTTACCAAGAAACTGTAATATTCGTGAAAGAATTTACTATCTCTATTAAAAAGTTGATTTTTTTTGAAATGTGATACTCTGTATGTATGCCTATTTTAATAAACAGATGCTAAACTGTTTCATTACAGTTTATGAAAAAAAAAATTAAATATAGTAAACTTACAAAATTGTTAGTATTCTTCAGCTCCAAAAGTTTACCCCCAAAATGTTGTCATTAAGCTCTGTGTTCCCTTGTGTCTTCATGACGATAATGGGCTTTTATTTAGTTCTTTATTTTTAGGAAAACACAACACTAACAGAAAATCCCTAAACTGGAGGAATAGGGTATTTGGACCCTTATGATCACAGCGTCTTAGAAAATAGTTCTTTCCTGCGTGGCCCCGTTGTTTCCGAGGTCCAAATGAAATGCTGTCTCACACTGCTTCACTATTTAGTCAGTACAAAGTTTTCATCGTTGTCTCTGGAATTAATTTTCTCTCTCAGTCAGCTGGAACCCAAGTTTGATGACCTTCCAGTCACTCTGCAAACTTCATTTTTCTTCTAAGCTTTTTCTGGGAAAATACATACAAACAGTCCCAAGATGCAACTCTTTCAACATATGGTTCAATCCGGGTCCCAAATTGTATGTTTTATCTTTTAATTTCAGTCCTCATATTTGGCACATTTGAATGCAAATCAAAATAAAGTATCATACGTAAGCAATAATGTAAAGACTCCCTATAATACATAGGGACCAGTAGCCAAATGTCATTAATTATGCTGACATTTCCTTCAGTATGGAATGTGTCCTAATACTGAGCAATTGTATGTTAACAATCCCATATGCATTGTTACTAATGGTAACTCTACTGAGTTGAACCATTACAGTGATAGTATTTAATAATGTCATTTTTAATTGCATACATCCAAGCTGTCCCAATCCTTTTGTGGAAGGAAAATGGTGTTACATTCACATAAAAATAACCAGCACAAAGCCGCTCTTGTTGCTTTTCTTTAAATGGAGAGAAAAATTTGTGCTCCCAAACTGAGACCTTGGATGCCAAGCTGCAGCCTGGAGCATATTTTTATGGCTGAGTTATAAACCCCTGAAAATGGGGTTTTGTAATTGAGAAGGGAGACATGATGAATGTGTCACTGTATTTAATTGGATGTCTTTAAGCCCCTCCCCAACGCTTGCATTGCCACAAAAGATGGTGGGCCAGCTCTTCTTTCTTATCTGCCTCCTGTGATCCTCTGGATCATTGCAGGGTCAGCAAGAGGACATATTTTATTAGCAATAATGAGCTTGAGACAGGAAAATAAAATATTTCTTATTGATTTATTGTGTCCTAAATTGGATTTATTTGAGCAGTTTGGTTTTGGTTATTCATGGTGAAGGTTTTCTAACTCTCATGACCTGTGAATGGTCCCTGCAGAACTGAATGAAGATGACGGGTAGCATGTAACCTATATATGCCTGTTCTGTACCCATCTAGAAGATCGTACTGTTGTGGTAGCTCAAGACACAGTCCCTACCCTTTTTTCTTCCTCTTTGTTATTCCCTTAGTTTCTGAGGTTGCACATATCATGAATAATCTTACTTTATCCTCAGGGTCCAATATAGGACCTACCAAAGGTGGATGCAGCGCTCTGTGCCATCCCTCCCTTGGGAGTCCCTGCCCTCTGCTCAGCCTGTGGCACACAGGAGGAAGACAAGCAAATGTCATGCTGAGAGCAACCAGCCCAAAAGTGCTTCAGTTTTCTTCACAGATTCTGATGATCTCCTATTTCTCCAGGGCATTCCCCACCACAACCCCATGACACCTATATAAAGCAGGATAACCACCCCATGTCCATTTTGTCCATCTGAGCTGGAAAAAAGTACCCTGCAGCTATCTCTGCACTGGAAATTCTCCTGGTTTCAGACAGCTGTGGATGGCGATTAGTGTGACTGCTCTGGTGCTTTCTGTTTTTCATTCTCATCAATCAGTACTGCTTCACATTTGTTCAGTTCCTTTTCTGCCACCAGAACTTGCATGGGAAAGGAAATGAACAGCTGAGTGAATGTGTAGTTTGGACTGGGACTCGAAACAACCCTTCCCTTCCCACACACACTTTCCGTGACTAGTGAACAGCAATATTGACACTTCAAAACTGACTCTTCAAATATCATTGCTGGCTTCTTAGAAGCCACTGAAATGACTGGAGCACTTAACACATGTTTTTAGACTCTCTTTTAGGAAACTGTGGCCTCCACCTCTTCATCGCTTACAGCTAGTTTAAAATATAAAGGTTCTGTTAGCAACCATAACTTCTAGATCTGGAGAGGAAACAGAGATTGAAAAAAAAATTAAAGTCATTCTTCAACCGCTTAGTTTCTCACACTCCCTCTAGGGACCATACATCACAGTGTTGTGAGATAAAATATTTAGTGCAATTATTCTTCAATAGTGTCCACATCCTCACAGAACCATTACTAGCTCTGCCATTGTTTGTTTGTGTTTTAGTTGAATTATCTAGTCATCATCAGCTCTTCTACAAATAGATGTTGGAGGAGCTGCAGAAGCACTGAAACCTTACTGCACTTGTAAAAGCAATCATTCCCAAACATTTCTTGTTTGGACAAGTGACAAAGTGGTAATGAAAAGAAAATGTTCATGTCTGTAAACTCAATTCAAGCCGTTCCTCTTTAAAGAGATCGAGCTATCTAAAAGCTGCCAAGTTGCCCTGCAATTGTGCAGTCCTCACTAGGCAAGTGTCCACATACTCACAAAATCATTAACAGAGAAGCCAAGGGTTTGAATATTGTGATGAGTGTTTACTCTCCTGCCCTGGAGTTGCTTGCTTCAATGCAGGGCTAGGGTTATCAACAAAGAAAGCAAAGGGAAGCGTGACAGAGGCTGTCTCCTGCTGATGCTTTTATGTGTCGTGTAAATAATTACATGACCCCATGAACCATCAGACTGCATCCTTCACCAAACACATAGGGTTAAAGTACTCTGTACTTCACAGCAGCAGTGAATTTGGCTCCAGAAACTCACTTTTATATGTTTTAATTTCAGTTTTGTACCTCAAACCTCCTGTCCCTTCAGATCCATGCTAACTTTTATTAATTTTTTTTCTTTCTCCAAAGCTGTTCTTGTCTCCTTGGGTATGAGGGGGAGAGGTGTGAAATAAACCCAGATGACTGTGAAGATAATGACTGCGAGAATAACTCTACATGTGTGGATGGGATCAACAACTATGTCTGTCTCTGCCCTCCTAATTACACAGGTAAGAAAGGGCCACAACCGAAGGACAGGAATCCATGAAGAGTCCCTTCAGTGCCTGAAGGGAAGGGTCCAAATACGTTTACTTTGTCCGTGAGTGTAATTAACCAAGAATCTAGTCCCATTTTAAAGCAACCTGGATGTCTTACTGGAGACATGTTAGTTCTACCAATATTGCAATACACTTGCTCACAAACATGGCCACTTTTCTCAGTCAAAATACTGACGGCTCATTGTAAAATGCATTAAAAAATAGTGAAGTTTAAGTTGTCAGAGAAATCTGTACTTTTGCACGCACATTCTCTAAATGTATTTCAGAAATACTCCCAGTACTGAGCTGAGTCTGATATACACATCTGTTCTGAATCTTGCAAAATAAAAACAGTTCCTGTTTAAATTATGGTAGGAAAATAGCTTTTGGGGCACAGCTTTCACCTGAGATCTCAGAGGTCTGCATTTATTAAATAAAATGAGCTTGACAATGTGCTGTTTAAATTCATTATCTCCATTTCACAAGCAGAGAAGCAAAGGCTCTGTAAGAAACTGTAGGCTCAGTTGTAGTCTTCAGTGTGCACCCATGGCAGTTAGCCCAGCTCAGCAGATGTGCAGTCACCTGCTAAGTCCACGGTGACAGAAGTTGGTAACTGAGTTAAAAATGGAATTAGTATCTCCAGCGCCCATCCTGCATTTCAGATAAATTCCTTCCTAAGCCTTCTGCAAGAGCAGAAACCTGGAATCTAAAAATGGTTTTTCTCAAGTCATTACTGGAGCATACTGTTGACTCATTCAAACTGTGTTAGCATGGCCTTCCTGGCTCAGCATGGAGTAGTAAGGAAACACCTGCAATAGTTCCTACTTCCATCCTTTGAAATGGGTTTATTACCTTCTAAGCATGGAGAAGTAATGAAGGGCTTCTTGTACACTGGAATATATTACATGTCAGGGGATTTAATGAGGATCAAGCTTGAGTGGCTGAGTAAGGCAGGAGGAAAGCTTCTAGAATTTCCAAACTCTTAAAATACTTTTGTGGCTGATACAAAGGAGGCCCATGTAAATCTTTAGCTGAGAAAAGCCCTATGACTTGAATGTACATTTATTGGAGTTCTAAAATGATCTTTCTGCCAAAAACTGAAAAACTTCAGCTTAGCAAAGAGTTTTGCTTATAGGATGTTGAGCCCATTGTGCTTACTTATCCACTGATTATGTGAGCTATTCTTGGGTGGTTTCAAACAAAATTCTATACAAGGAGGCAGAGTCTTTACATTTACAAGAGGAAATATATTTGTCCAGCCAAGAAAAGACATCTCTAGTAAGGAACTGAATCCAGTATATATGCAAATGCACTTTCCTTTTCACAGGCATATTGCAGATTTTTTTTTTTTTTCCAGACAAAACAGGTAGGAAAGAACTAGATTGGGATTTCTTCTCAAACAGCAGTCTGGATAGGGGCCAGAGCATTCATATGATACTTTAGAATCAGTTCTGAAATAATTTTAATCCACTTCCAGCTTTTTTTTTTTTTATGTGAATATTGTCTGTGCTGGTCTTATGCTTATTAGCAGGAGTTTACCAAATACTAGACCCCAGTCTTGCAATGTGGAATACACACAATTGTATATACCACACAATAAGCATTTGCTGTCACAATGCAGGCAACAGCTTTGACTACAGTTGCAACAAACTGAATTTTTGAAGTAGAGCAGGAAATACTTCTGGAAAAAATAATATGAATCATAAGTGAAAAAGGTTGCAAAAATAGGGGTGTTGCTTAAATCAGAAAGCTGAAGAGTTACAATAGTTCATGTTGCTTAAAAATAGGAAGAGTTTAGTGAACTGTGATAAAAGAATTGCCTTAACCTGCTGGACCTCCATTTTGGAGTGGGATATTTCATCAAACCTGATCAGTCACCTGGAAGGACTCACTACAGTGCAGCTGGCTGGGCCGAAATATCCCTCTGAGGTACACCTGGCCCTCAGAGCAGAAAGGCAAGGAACAGCATAAAATGGCTGGAAGAATTGAAGCCATCAGCCAAACAAGTTACATGCAAGCCAAGTAAATCTGAGCCATGTTTTTGAGGGTCCTCTAAGAGTTGAATCTGAACACAAGAAATTGGACATCATCTGAAGTTGCTTGACTGAATGAACAGCAGCTAAGGAAATGCCATGGAAGCACATAGGCAAGTCATGAAGAAGCACTTTGAAAGGATTTGTGTGCCTGACCTGAAAAGAGAGGGATCTGTTAACCAAAGAGTTTGACTGAAGTCTCCTGTGACATCCAGGGCATCTCTGTGTATATTCTTTTTAAATAAACCTTTGTATACTGAAGCAATACCTGAAGCTACTATGGCAGTATCTATTAAAAAAAAAAAAAAAAAGTAGGTGCAGATGACTTTAATATTGTGTTGAATATGCTAAGAATAGTGAATGCTAACATTTCAGAGAGAAAGCGGGTCACTGGAGGAGTCAGGAATACTTATTCTTGTGCTCAGAATTGTGCATTAAGGTACCTCTCTCCATCTCAGGTGCTGACTGTGCTTAACATTGTGTAGCAAACTGTATGTGCTTCAGAGTTGCCAGGTGTATGGATTTTATCTATGTTTATATGAACAAAGAATGGATGACAGGGTACTTTCCTGGGACGTAGTTTTTCTGTGAAGTAGTCTGGGGGACAGTGAGCTCTCAGTGCAGTACTTTGCCTAAAAGGGCAGTGATATCCATAGGCAGGACGTATCTAATAGGACAGAAAATGGAGGTAATACCTCTTCGTGTTGTGCCCGAATATTATACTTCGTTCTGTTGTTCAGAATTCAAGGAGCAAGTTGAGGTATGAGAAAGAGGATTAGAAGTGAAACACAAAAAAACATTGGGGGATTGAGAATAGATCTGGAAGAGCTCAAGAAAAATCTTATTGGGCTTAACAAAGAGTAGGCAGACAGAGCAAGGTTGGGGGTTTTTTTGCCCCCCACCCCCACCCCAAACACTTGTATGGAGAATAGAAGTTTCTTTTAAAGGTGCATTGGCTGACCTTTGTTGCTGAACAAATCCAGACCATACATTTTTATCAGTGTAATTATGCAAGAGTTGTTGTTTCTAGCTACAAACTGGATTTCTCAGCAGATGCTGTAGCTGAAACACAAATTAATTTGACAGAGGTCTATGTTACACTGGAGATCAGACTAGATGTTTCTGTACTGATAATCTGTGATGTTTTGAGTAACATTCAGGCTGTTGGTTATAGATGCCCAGGTCAACTATTGCAGATTCCATCTTTTCTCGACTGTAGAGGCAGGCAGGCTCTGGTAGCACTACGAAGTAGGTAGTCTGAATCCCTCATCACACTAGTGCTCTATGAAGTAAATGTACATTGTAATAAAAGCATAGCCTGAATACAGGGAGGAAGAAGATCCAAGAACGTGGATGTGTGTTGTTCTGCAAGAAATATTTAGGATCCCCCTCGGTTTAGTTGACTAATGGTTAAATCATGATAGTAAATCTTATGTGCCTAAATGAAATGCAAATTAAAAATGCATGTGTTGGAAATGTGGACTATTGACAGAGTTACAGTATCTAGGGTTTGGTTTTTTCCACACCTTAGTATTTTCCTACTTTATCTTCTGTCTGTCTAGTTTTACTTGTTATAGCCTTTTTAGGAAACAATATCCCAAATAATGATGCATAAATTTTGCTTTCATTGGTTGGAATAATGAAGGCCAAAGATCTTTCTTCAATTAATAACTTTTTGCAGTGTTTTCCTTTAAAATTCTTTTGACAGTCTTTTCTCCCACTCAAAATAGATGAAAAATAGCCAATTTGTTAAGTGACTGCTGAGGGAAGGAATTTCCCACACTCCAGCCCCATTTCACTTTCATTTGAAAAAAAAACCCAACACACCAAAAAACAACCCACACTCACACAATAACATCCTTCCTAGTTCCTTTCCACATGATAACTTTAAAACAATATACAAATACAAATGGATTGTATGGAATAGGTAAACATAAGTTAAAGAAGACAAAACTGAGAGGGAGGGTAGGCAAAGAGCTGATTGCCATAAAAAAGATTCAAGCCCTTACCGGCACCACCAGGTTTCCTCACCATTCTTAAAGTCAATATTTTCAATATTTGTTGCCTGTATGTACGTAACCAAACCAATACTCATGCTGTGTAGCAGAGTCCTGATGGCTTTTATTGTCAGCTGATGTCTTATTTTTCCACTCTCCAACTGGTTATTTTAATCCTGAAGCTAAATTATAAGCATATATTTTCTCCAGGATAATCATGTACCCCAAGTCAGCGAGCTCTAAAGCCTGAAGTCTGTGGGCTGGTTTACAACCTGGTCGGATCCCTTGATGGATTACAGCTCCTCCTTACAGTTTTGTAGGCTTTCCTCCTCTTCAAAAAGAAACTTATATAGGAACATCGAAAGAGGAAGTAATGAATTAGATCAATCACCCCAGTTCTTTTCCTTTTTGTAGTTTTCTAATTTTTGTCTTTTTTGCTTTAACATGACCTATCTCCAGCTATCGATATAAACATTCTGCTGTCTTCCTGACTTTGTGGTTTAGAAATGTAGGACAAAATGAATACAATTTTTCCCTTCCATTCCTTTTTTCTATTCACTGTTGTCACAGACTTTCTTGAGAGCCATCACTGTTTTGCTTATAGTTCTAGATTAGCTGTAGAATTTCATACCTCCAAAAAGAGATCCTCTCCTCAGTCTCACTATTCTTTGTGCTTTCACTTGAAGAGGTGTCCAAACATACGTAAAGGGCCAAATTCGCTGTACCAAACATGTACTATGTACTTTGAATGGTTTTATGCTTTACTTGCTAGTTCATTTTGTTTTGTTTGTTTGCTGTAACTTTTCCTTCCTCCTATCTGATTTTAGCCAGAAGCAGAAATTTGTAGCACTTACACACCAAAAATTCAGGAAATATTTCAGTTTTTGCTAAGGATCCTAAAAAGCCTCAGCAAATAGCCGCACCTCTTTGTTCTGAAACCTAA